GGCTAAAATGATTGGTCGTGCTTTTTACAGTACTACGGCTTCCACAGATGACATTTTGTTATGGATTTTTTGTCAAAGCACTTAAGATATTCATTGCTATCGGGATGTCAAGAGCATTCCATGGAATATAACAAAAAGTGTATCTCAAGCCGGTTTCTCAAACTTACCTACCCCACCTTTAATATCGCACGTCCTAAAAAAGAAAAATGTAAAAAGAAATTGTAATAAAAGATTGCACGTCCTGCGATGTCAATATCGCGCATGCGCATAACGCGATTATCGCCACGACACGATATATCGTGCAACCCTAGTGTGTGTGTGTGTGTGTGTGTGTGTGTGTGTGTGTGTGTGTGTGTGTGTGTGTGTGTGTGTGTGTGTGTGTGTGTGTGTGTGTGTGTGTGTGTGTGTGTGTGTGTGTGTGTGTGTGTGTGTGTGTGTTTGTGTGAGAGACAGCAGGTGTTCATGCAGACAACTTGTTTGCTTGTTTGTTTCACTTGTGTTAGTGGTGTTGTCAGGGTAGCGGAATACTTACAATGGTCAGTCGGGAGTTCAATTAGTTTGCAGACCAAAAATAGATCTACTACATTGAAGATACACGCATTCATAGCTTTCAACTGCCAGTGATATTGTGGTTTGGGAAGGCAGATATGTTGTAATACATTCATTTACAAGAGCTACCTGTGTCCTGAAACCTAAATCAGTGTCCAGGGAATTAAATAATTAAACATGAAATACTCACAAAAATAATCAATAGCACAAAATGCACTGTAGTTCACAAGCTGTACTTTTGTTAGAGTGAAGGAAATGTAAGACATTGTGAACAAAGGGCCAACATCAAATTACATTGAATACAAGCTTGCACTCTGTCAGCTTTTCCCCTTCACTGCAGAGCTCTGATCACAATTCATGTCCCACTGACAATATCCATAAAAACAGAATTAGAGGTTATTGCTTATTTAATGTGCAGAGATTTCTATGTCCACGTCCTACACTACGTGTTAGATAATTTATGTTACATCCTTCTGCAGAGTACATGCTGAACTGGGATAATCTCAGGTGATAAACTCATCAACATGACCTAGAGTTAATACTAAGTGTACTATAAACATGTTCTTCTGTCTGGGTGTCATCAACTGTTATCTCTCGTTTGTCAAAACACAGAAGATCCAGTTCACAGAATAAGACCGACCAAAGATAGGAACACCAAAAAACAGAAATACTTAAAGTTAAGCTGAAATACTGTGGAGGCTTCTTTTTTTTTAATCAAGCAAAAAAATGGTCCCAAAACCTAAACCCACACGGTCTATAAAAGATCCAAACGTTTTCTGCAGACAGCTAAACAAATACTTTAAAACAACTATGGGTCCTATCAGATACACTTAAACTTAAGTTGTTTTAGGCATCTGAACTAATAACCAATTATGTCTTTTTATGTTTCCTTTTATAAAGATATTAAATTACTGTTAAGTAACCAACCCCAGTAATTATTGCACTTCTTTATAATCATGTTGCAACCTTTACAGATGCATTGTATGTAGAGTACCAGTGATGCTCTTTCTAAAGTTCTAAAGAAATTCTAAAGTGTTATGAGGTGTATTCAAATAACTGACAGAAACCATGATTGCATGAGTCAGAAAGGTTTGTAGATATAATTCCACCTGAACAAACCAATCGTTTCTGATCGTAAGACCCTGAGGCTGCAACCAGAGGAATGAGGAGTGGCTCGTACATTGAGCTGTTTACACTTCACTCTTTTTTGATCAGAAACACTCACATGGAAACACAGGCATGTGTAAATACTAATCTATTAGGGCAAAGGGAGTGAAGGAGGAGAACAGATGGGGGAGACAAGCAGTGGATGGAATGAGGGGGAGAGAAGAGGAGGAGAAGATGCAATCGGGAAGAGAAGTTCCTTGCACACTTCATATCTTCCCTATGTGGAGCAACAGGAATACCAAAAATCTGTGTGTATGGAAAGGAACCAAAAAAAGGTGTGCAACTGCCACTTGTCATAAACCAGTATTACTCCAATCCAATTATGTGCAGGCGACATCTCCAGTAAGTGGGGAGGCCAAACCCATCTATTTAATGGTTTGGGAAACCCTGGTGCCCTGAGGTGGATTGGTGGTCAATGTTTGGAAATGGATGACTCAGTGAGGCATTGTGCCAACACGCTGCGCTGACTCAGTGCCAATGTGCTGAAGCAGGGCTTGGCCCGAGGACTCATATTAACAGGAAGTGCAGGAAATGGCCGTAATGGTGTTGCATTCTCCAAACTCATTCCGAAAATGCTGAAGTTTAAGATAAAGTCTTGATGATGTGGGCTTCCTGTGCAGTAGCACTTATTCTGTACCCAGCAAAAAAACATCTAAAAATACTGTTTTAAGTGGATGAAATGCCACCGTGCATTACATCGGGGGGGATTTTATTTTCCTTTTCATGTACTATCGCCTAAAAATCTAATGGGCAGCATGATTCCAAAACAAAGGAACCCTAAGATGGTGGACTAAACACCAAATAAAAACATAAATAAAAAAACACTTAACTGCTAGTCAACTGGCATGCTCTTTTAATTTATGAGGACAATGGGATTCCTCATAGTGGGAACACAGGTAGGAACAACTCTGCGGTTTCAAAACAAGTCATAAATCAGCATTCATGTCTTTTGGATCAGATCCTTTCAAAGTGAGGATGTGCCTCTCTGCTGGCTTTTGGTTTTGTTATTCCCCAAACAAGTTGATATCATCTTCCAGGACAAGGACAGGTACCCGTCAAGGATTAGTTCTGCTTCGCCGCCCCCACAGACAGCCTCCTCCTACCAACCTTTTTTAGGGAAGTGTAGGTGATTCAGGAGATGATTACAGATCACCTTTCTGACTCACTCAACATCTTCCTGGAAATACCACCCTCAAACATACAAAGATGCCAAGAATGTTCACAAGCCTGTGTGAAAACGTACTGAGATTTACTCAGGAGAAACATTTTTTTTAGACTCAGCTGGATATTTTTACTACCAAACGTGTCCTCTACTGGAGTCCAAGAGCAATGTCTAAACTTAGATTTGACACAGGCTATTTGCTGATCACCATGTTTGTTATTCTGAACAGGCAAATACGTCCTTATTTTAGTGATCAGATCACCATAGCCAATGCCTCGGGACCTTTGTGATGCATGATTTTAATTGACCACATGTTGAGTGGTTTGTTTGAAGTACAACTTTTAGATTTAGAACAGTGACTCTGCATTTCTCTTAGTCACTACTTTTAGTAACTGGACCTCATGTACTTTTTGTGGTGAAAAAGAAAAAATGCTCACATGTGAACCAAAGTAAAGCCTTAAAAAAAAATGGCTCCTTTACTTGTGTTGCTTACGACAGTTCATTTGAAGAGTGATTTCCTTCTGGAATAGGAATTAATGCTGTATTTTACAAAAAAACTATTTAAAAAGATAAATACAAATATTGTGTCACAGATTTTAGCTTTAGCCTTATTATTTATTACCCAATCTTAAAACTCCTTTAATGATTATTTTTATAAAACCCTTGTTGATGTCCCAACACCTATGATGAATTAAATTATAAATATTAAAATATCCTAGTTTTGTTTATCCTATTGTGGCTTATGACAATGTACTTGCTAAGTGAAGTGCTCTGCTTTATGGCAGTTAGGCATGAAGACGAATCAATCTGACAATACGTTTGAAACCCAATGTTTCACTATATCATCTAACCATTTAAGAATTAGATTTATGCATTTTTATCTGTTTTTGATATTGTTAATATCTCCATCTTGATGTAACTGTGCTACTTACATTTAGAGAAAGAAGAGGGTGAATGTATTTTAAAAGAATATCTAAAATAACACTAAAAATAATGATGATGAAGATTATTTAAACAAAAGTTCTTCCTTTTTGATCAAAAAGACAGTTTTGGCACTTCAGCTTTCTCCCAGTCTTATCACATGTAGTGTGAGTAGCTCAGGATCAAAACACCTACATGTTTGTGGCCATGTGTGTGTCGTATTCGGGGCCATCTGATCATCTCGGCTTTCATAGCGGCAGGATGGGCTCCTTGTATTGTCTGAAAGGAAACACACACACACACACACACACACACACACGAGTCTGGGTGTTATCAACTCTAGACAAAACGGAGGAACAGGAGGACAAAGACAGGAGAGAGTGTTGTCCTGTGGGCCAGTCAGCGCGCACACACACACACACACACACACACACACACACACACACACACACACACACACACACACACACACACACACACACACACACACACACACACACACACACACACACACACACACACACACACACACACACACACACACACACACACACACACACACACACACACACACACACACACACACACACACACACACACACACACACCATGACCTCATGCCTGACAAACACATGTGGAGCTCTTCTACTCTTACTAGATGAAATGTAATATGTTTTGGCCACCATTCCCTCCCTTCCTTTTAAAGGTATGTCGTGGTATGTTTTGAGCTATGACGCTGATTTATTTGTCAGCAGTAGTTACACTTTGTCATTAGTGCACCTCAAGTTTCTCAAACATGTCACAACCATGCAACCTTTTCATCCCTTCTCTGCAAATAGCAACATTAGGTCACATTTAAATCTTCTCTAAGCACTAGACCAGTTAGTGGTGTTGGTGTAAGAGATCCCAAACAAAAAGACTTGGAGCATGAAATACGGGGCTGTGCAGGGAACACAGGGCGGAGGAGGAGGAGGAGGAGGAGCGGGGGGGTGGCAGGGAGAGTTTTGTTCAGGGGATGTGGGGGCAAGAGACAACTCAGCTAAAATAAAGAAAGAAAGAAAACTCCTCCCAAATACAGAGGAGAAAGAGGAGGGGCTGTGTGCTCACAAATCACTCCCCTGAGAGAGAAAGAGGAGGGCAGGGCTTCTGATTGTGCGGCGCTACTTGTTGTTGCCTGTCTCAAGCAGCGTGAGTGTGTAGCCGGTCCGCTAGTCAGAAGCTCAGTCATTCAAACAAACTATGAAAGGGAATACTTTGGATTAGATACGACTGAAAGAAAAATAGGAGCAAAGACCAAGGAATAGAGAAAAGGTCCCGCTGACAGGTATGGAATATAAATGTGTCGGGATGTGTGTGGAGGAATGTGTGTTGTTAAGTCTTGATGGTCATCTCCTCTGCGTGCATTAGAGTCATTTCAGACTTTTTTATTTAAAAGTAAAAATAGTAAATGATTTGTTTCTCTTTCTGTGTATTTCACCACACTGCCATGCCTTCTCCTCTCAGCTGTCTCTCTCTCCACCCCTGTTGGTTGAATTGTTTACATCTCAAAAGTGAGTTAGATTTGCTCAGGGACTTTTTGAGCAATAAGTCGTCTTCCCAAGGCGCTGGGTGTAGCTGTGGTTGATGGGGTTGGTTGGTGCTGCTAACTGTAGAAACCCCCTGCAGGAAATAATTACATGGAATATGAGAGATAAGATGAAGACCTTTCATCACGGTTTTGGGTTTGGGTCAAGATTACAATGTTTTGTACAAGTTTATTTTCTCAGCCAAACATCGTGAATAGGTTTTGACACTGCTGTAAACCCACCAATATTTATTTTAGTATTTCATTTTAAACTTGAAAAGGTTAAGGAGTACTCTTATCAAACAGCTGTCGTGCTCAGAGACACTTTGACAGGTTGCAGCTCTCTGACCTTTGAGAACACATCTTTAAACGGTAAACCACCCACGAGATGATGACAGGCAGACATGTGTGTGCATCTGTGTGTGTGGATGTCTTGTGAAGAGAAACATGCAGCAGGTTGTTTTCAGATATTAGTCAGTGTCAGGTCTGAACCCTGTTGTGGCGTTGAATCGAGCAAATGAGATTCAACCTTTGATTAATGCTGACATTTTTCAGACTGCATAGCTCAGCTGTAACTGTGTGACGATTGCGTACTTGCAGTGTGTGTGTGTGTGTGTGTGTGTGTGTGTGTGTGTGTGTGTGTGTGTGTGTGTGTGTGTGTGTGTGTGTGTGTGTGTGTGTGTGTGTGTGTGTGTGTGTGTGTGTGTGTGTGTGTGTGTGTGTGTGTGTGTGTGTGTGTGTGTGTGTGTGTGTGTGTGTGTGTGTGTGTGTGTGTGTGTGGTGTTGTGTTACTTGCTCCTGTGGGATGAAATGGTTGGTATTCCAGCCAGCCGTCAACACATGTGACTTGTAACCTTCAAAAAAGCCGAACCATAGCAAACAAAAAGCAAAAACGATAATATACTTTTTGCTACAACATCTCATCAATAATGTTGAAATCTGAAAGGAGCATTACTAGATTTGCTTTTGGCACTCACACTTCAAATCTCCAACTTGTTCTATCAAAGAAAAGGCTCTCAATTGCTTTCTTGTCAAAGAAGATACACTCATTTGTCATGTCTGTACATAGATAAGGAAGTTAGAGCTAGGCAACGGTATCTTAGCTTAGCACAAAGTTTGGGAACATAGGGAAACAGTACAAGAACACAATTGAAAACTTGATAATATCTGGTTTCACTGAAATATGTGTGAATTAATTTAGTTTTGTCATCGGTTACCATCTAAAGCTTCCTGTTTAGCATACAGACAGAAGTGTTGCCTTTTATCCAACCCTCTGGAAGTAAGCAAATAAGTCTTTAACACAAACAATGTGACTTCCGTCTATTATGGAATTTTATTTATTTTCATCTGCATGATTGTTAGATGCTAAGATGGACACACTGAACCTTTTTATCTCAGAAACATAAACACAAGTCATCACATGCCAATTTAGCATGTCCATTTATAACTAAGCAATTGGTTGGTTGGTCATGGTCATTTTAATTGTAGCTATAAAGTTGTTACACCCAAAAGGCCGGCTGAGATGACACCACAAGCGCAACTTAACTGCATGTGTTACCATCTTTGATGTTGCTGGAGCATCATTTCAAGTACAGCTTGAGTTATAGATTTGAGATGGACTTACTTTTATAAGGAACTAAATACTGACTGACTCAGCTGGCTGCTTCTATGTGACTGACTGGCTCACAGTGTGCTGATCAGTGACTGTACACACATTTTGTCTCACACTTTCCATCTCTTAAACGACATATGAAACAAGCACACATGGAGGGTAGATGGTGTGTGTGTGAGAGAGAAAGAGAGATTCAAAAGTTTTAAATGGCAGCTACTGCTGTGGGATTTAATAAAAGACTCAATAATATGTTGCACACCCATACACACTGGTAAACCTACGCACCGAAGAGCGCAGTAGGACCTCTCTCTCTCTCTCTCTCTCTCTCTGTCTAACAAAGGCCGGCTCTAAACAGCGGTCATGTGACAGTTGTTCCCATTGTTCACTTCTGGCCAGGGGTGGTTTGCTGGTTTGCTAGTGTGTGTGTGTGTGTGTGTGTGTGTGTGTGTGTGTGTGTGTGTGTGTGTGTGTGTGTGTGTGTGTGTGTGTGTGTGTGTGTGTGTGTGTGTGTGTGTGTGTGTGTGTGTGTGTGTGTGTGTGTGTGTGTGTGTGTGTGTGTGTGTGTGTGTGTGTGTGTGTGTGTACGCCATAGCAGGAAGACTCTTTAAGGCAGCTAGAGGAAACCCCTTATTCCCCAACATGTTTGTGTTGTCCTCTCTATTGTGTGTGTCCATGTTTAATAAGAGACCAGTAGTGCAACATGTGATTGTTGCTGATTTAACTCCACCTTATTTATAAATCTAATTATTGTGTAGAGTAGGTTTTCTCTTTTGTATACTAGAGGACTTTTAGTCCAACCTGAATTCCCAGCAGTGGCCAAGACGCCTTTGTGTATAGTCAGACGGAGAGATTACTATTAAATGATCAACTTTAGTTAAACTACATTTTACAAAGTAATGTCCTTATCCCCTGTGAGACAGAAATAGAAAGAATGACAGTGATGGTGAGAGGCGATTTATGTTGTATTGCTGGTGATTCTTTATAATGAGCTGCCTGCCGACTGTTTGCCATTTCCTCTTCCTGTGAATCTGCACTCATTTCCCACCCAAGGACTTGTGTGTGTGTTTGTGTGCTGGCGTTCCCAACCCAAGGCCTTTACTAGTGTTGCTGATAAAGCAAACCTTACCTCAGAATATGTTGTCTTTTGCACCATGGTCAAGGGAAATACCTCTGATGCCAGGTGTATCTTTCCAATGTGAAATCTTGTTTTACTGTTTTATTTGAGTGATATCCTCAATGAAGGCTGGTTTTAAATGCTGTCCATTTGAGCAAATAAATTATCTGACTGCATATATTAGCTAATTTAAGATGTTTTAGTATCGCTATTAGCTTATAAATGACAATAAACAAGATACTTTTATGCTCTGGCTTCCAAACAGGGATTTGTAAGCATAATTCAAAATGATGGGCCACAGCTTTAAAAATATGACATATAAAAGAAGATATACATGTTTTTGAATAAGTTGATTTACAAAAGTTACAAATAGTAGCACTGCTTACGGGTTTAAAGGACATTTAAATTATAGATATCAATTTGAATGATTTGCAGTTTGTTTGAAAGGATATTGTGTCAGTAGCAAATTCAAAACATAACCTTTTTTAAGTTTTTAAACCAATGAAAGTTTTATTAGGTGTAATGTTAAGATTCAGCTCGATAATGCAGATGTTCTTACTTACAAACTAACCTAAGTATGGTTGAAAATGACCACAAACGAAATGTTTCTGTGTATGTGCGTGAGTGTGTCTATTGAAGTGTGCGCTAGCCGATGGCTGAACAGCTGTAGGGAGGAGAGGATGAGGCAGGCAGAGAAAAGGGGGGGGGGGTAAAAAAGAGCAAAGTCTATTATTATGAGAGGAGGGAGGACAAAGGGCAGAAAGAAGGTGACAAAGTGAGGAAGCTAAAGAAGAGCTGACATCATGACGGACAGGCAGAAGGAGGGAGGGGGGGGGGTGTTTCTGTGGAAGAGCACAACACTAAAAGAGAAAGGGGGAGATGGATGAGTATGGATGAAGTCAAAAGAAGAAAGAGGGACTTAAAGGTCCCATGTCATGGCCATTTCTACTGATCATAATTCCATTGTTGAGGTCTACTAGAATAGATTTACATTGTTTAATGTTCCAAACTCACATTGGTTTCTCATAGAGCATCTCTGTATAGTATGTGTATTCACTCTCTGTCCTACACGGCTTGTTGGAGCTCCTGACCCCCCCTCCCTGTGAGCCCACTGTGCTCTGATTGGTCAGCTCGCCCACTCTGTTCTGATGAGTCCACCACCGTTACAGCGGAACATCAGTGATTATGTGTTACAATGGCGTTTGTTAGCAACCAGGAAATGACACCAGTAATGACAAACAGATGAGAATGCTGCGTGGGGTCTGGGTGCCGTGTTGGCGGGACGTTGCGCGGCTTGCTGCTGCGACGAGCGGACCCAGTGTGAGCTGGGTTCATGGGTTAATTCCTGCTTGCAGCGTGGGATCTGCGAGACAGCGAGACAGCGAGACATCGCTAATGGATGCGGGAAGGGGGGGGGGGGTGCTGAGGGGGCTGCAGCACCCCCATCTGCGAAGCTCCGCTAGCTGAAATAAGCAGTGTTGAAGGACAGAGTAGATTGAGAGAGGCTAAAGGAGAAAGTAAGATTTTCACACATTCCCTGCATGTGGAAACAACTTCTTAAGCACTTAGCATGAATAATTTATTAATACGATTAATCAACCAAGTATTCATGTGCGTAAGTGCTGTGTGTTTTCACTCAGTGAGAGACATCCTTTCTCCTCTACAGGGGAGGGTGTGTGTCTGGCAGATGGCCAGGGCCACACACGCAAATACACATTACCACAGGCTGACCATCCCTGAGGGTCTTATAATAGGTCCTCCTCCTGTAGGCTTTCTGCCCCTCAGAGGAATCCACTCTCTGACCCAGCATGCCTTCGCAGGGCTTCACAGTGTGTTTGTGTGTGTGAGTGTGTGTGTGTATTCTTTACTTGTCACGCTGAAATGTCTAGAGTTGGCCAGCTGTTCCCCTCCTTAAAACTCTATTTGCATTTTTATTGATAGTCATTATCACAAGCTGTAGACTCAATGACCCCCTGCTAAAGGTTTACTTTCCTTTTATAATCAAGGTTTCTGTACTTGCGAGGGTCTGAAGCTTATACATATCGTATTTAATATGTAATGTCCCCTTGTGGATTTTATCTACAAAAAAAGAGCAGTATATAAAACATCGAGGTTGCTTTTGCCAACCCAGCTTTCCCTTATTTACTTTTTGTCAATTATTGCCAAAGCTTGCCTTTGCACAAACTTTGTAAGAAACAATGTATTTGTCGGTTAAGACTTGTTTTTGTCGAGGACAGCACACAAATCTAACATTCATCAACTGAGGTCATATTTAATTTATATTCAAAGATTAAATAAATTAACAGCGTATCCTCTGCCTTCGAAATCAAATACATTTTAACCTTGTTGATTGCTTTGGTTCAAAACAATACCCCTTCATCTGAGCTGACTGCATCAAACTACACAAACAGTTCCCCTTCATCCTACTTTCTCTGATCAAAGTCAGGTTGTCCAAATTAAGACACAATAAAAAGAAACAACAGAAAAGTTGTTTGGGCCAGATTCTTATGTCTGATGAGATTAGAAATAGGGAAGGTATGTGGAGTTTCGTACCATCCAGTGTACCAACATGTCTGTCAGCTGAAGGTATTTTAGTTTGTACAGTGTGATTAAGTGCAGCATGCTGAGTGATTCAGAGCAGATTTGAGCTGCTGTCCAGTCATCATCACACGGCAGGGGAATTTATCGAGAACCTGTCCAGTGTTTTTTCCCATCCCTTATGACTCTATCTTGGGCATCTCTGTGTACAGTAAATATATCTATCCATCTGACATATTCCCCATTAGCAATACATGTTGTGTGCTTTTACTTTTTGAAAAGGCTGGAGTAAAAGCTATGTTTTAGTGCCTTGCTGGAATATAAATAATTTAAAGCATTCCCTTACGGTATGACATATAGAGGTTCTCAAAAAATAAAAAAGCAGAAGGTCAGACCTCTGTTCTCTTCTCACGTCCTCCAGTAGGAAGCTGCTGTCTGGTGAAACTGTTTTTGGCTTTGAGGCCTATGAAATCTATGAAACTACTACCGGACGGTGTGTGGTACTTTTGTTTACTCCAAAATTGTATTCCAGTTGGTTGTTATTGCACGGAATGTCAAATGTATTGTTAAAGGTCATGCTGCTCTCCTAAGGAATTCAAGCTAAACCATATATAGTTTGTGCTTTGTATTCCTGCCAAAATAAATTGCATTTGGGCAGTGTTATCCTCTTCAAAAAAAGCCAGTTGACCAATGTCCTTATGCTCTTCTCAGTTTAAACTGAAAAATAATAATTTAAAACAAAAGTAACAGGCAATGTCTCCCAATGATCAAAGCTGTTCTCCTATGTGTTTTGGATCAACTTTAACCTTAAATTATGCCTATAAATGTAAGCAATATATACAGTATATTGTTAGATTTTCTTTTTGATTGTTCGCATGCGTACATTGAGGTAGAATAACATTACCTAGCTAACACTGCTGGTATGAGGATATGTAATCAGAAGCTTTAACCCCTCAAGGCAAACGTCAGTGAGTGTCATGTATGCATGATGATGTGAAAGGGTATGTGAGAAATTTGATTGTGTTAATATAGTATTTCATCTTTGCGTGTCTTTTGTGTTTTCAGATCATATGTCTTACAGAAATGTATTAAACAAACTGATAACAGCTTAAACAGCATTTCCCTTGTCATTGTAAAGAAGCATATATTATACACCCTGTAAGGTAAACTCACTCTAAAGAAGTCCTCTGACTTTGCGTGTGTGTTTCTTTCCCAGAGTTGAGGATGATGGCAGAGGGGCGTTTTGCCAGTCTGCCCAGGTCCCTCCATGCACACCACGCCCTGGGAGGAGGCACTGTACACCATGGAGTCCCCTCAAACTCCCTCGGCAGCACCACCTGCTCCTCCAGGGGGCTCCAGTCCTCCCTCGCCTCCTCCATGGACCTCCTCAGCTCCAAACCGGGGTGAGTTGGGTGACTGAAAACAGCTCTTCAAAGAAGCCTGGCAGAGCTCAGGGTCTGAAATGAAATGAGTTTTAAAAACCCATAGGCTTCTCTGTAATGCAATGCAGGTTTGTATCATAGCAATTTACCAACATTTAATTACATTTTGAGATATTAATAAGAAGGTCATCACATCAAAATCTGGCTTCTGAGAAAAAAGTCTTCACAAAGGTGTTTTTGTTTACTTGAACACTTTAATCTTATGTTTCCCTCCTCCCTCCCCCAGCTTCCCCACAGGCCATGGCAGCGGCCTCTCAGATCTGCCTGCTTCGGCCTACCAGCAAATCTCCATTCACGGGACTCTGCCTCGACGCAAGAGAGGCGGAGCAAACCTCCCCCATGGAAACTACACCTGGAACACGTCACTGTCTCCCGGACACGCCCATCAACCCCTGACCTCTCCACTGGTCCAACATATAATCGACGACTTTCATGGTTACAGGTAAACACATGTTTAAAACACACATAATGAGGTCATACAAGCTCTTTTTTGATTAACACAATGCATTTTGAAATGTACATGTATAACGTCTTTGTGTGATTTTGTCTTGGACAGAGGATGTAATGTAGATTGGAAACCCACTGAAGCTAATATGTTATTTATAATATTAGGCTGCATAAATATAAAATATGACCCTTTTTTTACTTTTGCTTGAGCTTTAATTTTAGACTATTAAAGGTAGGGTAGGTAAGTTTGAGAAACCGGCTCGAGATCGCTAGAATTTGAAAATACACAACCGGAGAAAATCTGCCACTTCCTTATAGAGCCCCTCCTCCAACACACACGAATGCGCACATGACCAATGAGGGCACGAGATAAGTTTGTGCCCAGATGGAAGGCTGACAGGCAGGTAGGCCATCCAGTTATTTTAGCCGGGCCGACTAAAATGATTGGTCGTACTTTTTACAGTATTACGGCTTCCACAGATGACATTTTTTATGGATTTTTTGTCAAAGCACTTAAGATATTCATTGCTATCGGGATGTTAAGAGCATTCCATGGAACATAACAAAAAGTGTATCTCGAGCCGGTTTCTCAAACTTACCTACCCTACCTTTAAGGGGCAAAAAAGAGACACAATCAAAGGAACACTCAACCAAACATATATTTTCAAATACACCTAAAATATTTTTAACTTGCATTTTTGGAGAACAGCATCTTGTTTTCAGAGCAGTTATCAGATTCCAGTGGTAGGTTTTTCTAGTTTTTGTGACTACTGTCACCATTGGGGAGAATTGTAAATGTTGAAAATCCAAGCTTTCTAGGGCTAAAGCTTATTAGTTTCATTATTAATTAATCTGACGATTATAATATCTATAAATCGTTTAGTCTTTTAAATGGAAAAAGAAAAAGATACACACACACACACACACACACACACACACACACACACACACACACACACACACACACACACACACACACACACACACACACACACACACACACACACACACACACACACACACACACACACCACACACACACACACACACACACACACACACACACACACACACACACACACACACACACACACACACACACACACACACACACACACACACACCAGAGAAATCTCAATAGAGATAGCTAAAAACAGCACTTTCTGACAAACAAACTTTTGGGAGAGACTTTTCAAGCAAAAAGCCAATGACATATACAATGAAGTAGAAATACTCTTGATTTATGTAGTATTTATTTTTGGGGTAGTGCTTTTTAGAGGCATGCGACATTTTTAGGCAATCTTTCTTGCCTTACACTTGCCATGCTCTGAAAGAAAAACGTTATTAATTTGGAGCAGGGACACAAAAACAGAGTTTGGAGTTGGATGGAGAAATGCGAGTCCTGAGGGGGTGAAGCTCACTTCAGAGGGAACACACACACACACAAACACAAACACACACACCTCATCCCTCAACATGTCCTCCCATCTTTCTATCTCTAGTGTTGAGTTACAACAGACAGTATCTGATGTAGCCAGCTGTGTGTGTGTCTGTGTGTGCGTGTGTGTGTAGCCCCCAGCAGTTGGGTTACCTTTGTAGGTCAGGGTGTGGCGGGACAGATCACAGATTACTGTGAGCTCTTTGTCTGCTCTCTCCATCTTCTGCCTTCGTGCTGGATACATTTCATACACTGCTGACATACAGCAGCACAATTTGTCCAGGTCAAATTCAACCCGTGCAGGTGGCCAAATAATGAACAGCATCATTATCCCACTTTGGCTCATTTTTCATGAAGTTAGGGCAAATGTATGGGGTTTTGAAATCAATCAATGGTATCTCTTACCGTCAAATGATGTTCCAATTCAGCTGTAAATGAGCTCAATGAGCTGAAAGTGACAAAATGATACATCTTTTTCAGGCTGGGTTTTTATTTGGCAGGTGGGGGTTGTTCTTTATAATCAGCTAATATATAGCCTTACTTCAAACTGTCTGAAGATCAAAGAGCAGCACTTGGTAATTACTGAATTACCCTACTAATGACCTGACAACTACAAAAGAGACTTTGCTATGTCAGTGACGGCACGTATGAGAAATAAATCTCACTGTGTCCAGATTGATGTTATCTCTTTGATTGATGTTCTTGTTTCACATACTTACAATCATCTCCTTGGCCCTACGTGAAAGGTTTTTAAAGATACATCATCATTGACATAAAAATACTTGGAATAATAATCTACATAGCAACATTTCAGCTCATCTCAGGAGGGTAAAGCTGCAACAATTAGATGACATGTATTAGTTGTTGCACAGAAAACTATTTGGTGAGCTTTTTAGATCATTTTGTAGTTCTTAAGGTACTCTTTATGCAAAAAAAACAATTTGCTGCTCTTCCCTGTTTTATATCATATTATACTCTGCATCGTTGGGTTTTGGAACAAGACATTTTAAAACATCACCTTTGGATGTTTGGCTGATATTCACATTGATTTACCCACCATTCATTAAAAAGATATCTGTACATTGATTAATAAAGAAAAATAATAGTTTGTAGTAATCAATAAGAAATGCTTTCCAATGGTTCTAAGTATTTTTTCTCAAATCCAAGTTTCTTCTAAATAAAACCCAATGTACAAATAATACAGATGATTTGTACATTGGGTTTTCTAAAAAAACAAACGTGTAAATGTTAAACATAGACCCTGGTGTTGTTAAAGCAATGAGTATCATAAAAAACCATCAACCTTCCCCCCAGCTCCTCTGTCGTTGTTGTTGTTGTTTTGAAACTCACGGCCCAAATTGGAGTTTTCTATAAAAAGATAAGGGAGCCTAGCTCTAAAGTATGCAACCACTGGCCGGTCGGTCTTGACTTTCCATTCCTCATGCTGTCAGCTGATCTTTGACCCCTGACCTGATGTTGCACCGGCTTCAGATTGGTCAGTTTGTCTCTGTGTTGACCTCAGTGAACAGCTCAGCAGACCACCAGAGAGGAAAAGGGGGAGGAAGAAGGAGAGAGCAGAAAGAAAGAGTGGAAAGGAGCAGAAAGAGAGAGAGTGGGGGGGAGGAGAGGAGAGACAGTGTGTTGACAGTGACACATGCCACTTTTCATTTCAGCAACATAAATAAGCTTATTTTTTAGCCTTTTTAATTCTGCTTCTGCTGAATGAGTTTGGATTGACCTCTTCTGATGATCAGTTTCAACAGCTTTTACACTATATTCTCTTTTGAATTGTAAAAGATGGTATTGAACTAACATTCCTACCTTGTTCATACCTGTTGATTTATTGCTCTTGTAACACCCCTGACAAACTGAGGGACAGAACCAGCAGGCTGCTTTAGTGCTGCAAATAAAAACCAGACTTTTAGCATCTTAGGCCCCGGCTCCACGTGAACGCATACGGCAAAACGCATAGGATTAACGCAAACGCAATCGCCAAAAAGCTTCCGTCCACACGCAATATACACCGGATAGTGTCTTCCCACACGAGACAGCTCCGTTTAGATCCAACCGCTGGAAAAGCTGCAGTACATATGCCGAGCCTGTACGTGGCGCTGTAACTTCCTCCACAAAAGCAGCGAAGAAGAATGGTTGTCATGGCTGCAGTTCTGTTTATTCTCCTTGGTGGGGGCCGAGGGAACCGGGCAGAGTTTTTCGCCGGTCAACGTGTGTTAAAGTTTAAATCTTCCGGACAAAATTATAAAAGTGCCGGTCAAAGGTCTTCATTGTTATTTATTGAGCTTTAAAACAAATGAATAACGACTATATAATGATATATAATAATAAAATACACGGAGCCTGTCTCTTTCTCCTCTCTTCTGACAGCGTCAGTGTCTGTCTCATGCAGCAGCTGATCCAGTAATGAGTGACCCGACAGTAAAAATAAACATATTTATAACTAGTTTAGGTAGTTTGAGAGGTGATTAAAATAGCTAAGGGTGATGATCTGACTTGAAGTGTGTGTTTTGCTCCCGCTGCATCACAGCGGGAGGAGCTGCGTGTCTCCGTCCTGTCAGATTAGACTTCACTCCCGTTTATGTCCATATCGAGATAAAGATAAATAATCTGAATTCAGTGTGCAGTGGACTTTTGCGGGGGTGAGCAGCAGAGGCGGGGAGAGGCGGGGCTATTGCGTCGTCATTATCAGAAAAGGATGACCGTATAGGCTACCACACGGCCCCGTTGGACCCCCCAGAGCGCTCCGTTCCCAGATCTATCCACCTTTGGACCCGTTGTCGTTTGCAGGGTCCGTTTCTATCGTTCCGTTACGGCGTCGTGTAGCTTAAAGGGCTATACGCAAGAGAAATATGCGGATACAACCCGTTTTCGTTCCCGTGGAGCCTAGGCCTTAATGTGTTGCAAAGTCGTAATACACACTGAATCTAACAGGGGTTTTCACACTTGGACAATACACTTTCAAAAGATTTCAATATGCACACTGAATTAACTCAACTGCATGTATCATGCAGAGATCACCATGCAGTTTCTATTACGGCTTTAATGCGGTTGAAAATTGTTATTTCTTCCACCCATAGCTCCTAAATGAAAGATCCAAAAACCACGACTACAAGTGACGTAATTCTGATTGATAGTCAACTTCAATCAAAACAATAATAAATATAAACACAGGAAAATCCATAACATCCTCTGCATAATAAAATAACACTTATTATTTAATTATAAATATAAGGTAAATAAGCTAAATGGTTTCAACATCCCACATTCACTTCTTTCATTTACTTAATTGTAAAACATCAACTTCCAAAACAATACAGTTAGCATATAGCAGGAACCAGGGGCGTCGCCTGGACCTGAAAACATTCGGGGCTTAGCCCACAGTGGCGGCGGCACTACAGTGGCATTTTTTACTGCAACACTCCCCACACGCACACACACAGTACACCCGCGACTGTTACAATGAAGGCTCGATAATCAGCTCACGGCATATAGGCAGGGGTAAAGTGGTATTTTTTATGAGTGGGGGGCGGACCTCACCTCCTCTAGGGGGGTCCCGGGGAAGACTTTTTTTTTTAAATATTGAAGTTAAAAGCATCAATCTGGTGCACTTTGAGAGCAAAATGAAGAGATCTATGGATACCTCTCTCAACACCCATATGAAGCAGAACTGTAAACAGATGTACTTTTTCTTTATGGATATTTTACTAATCACTCCCCTTTTAAACTCTATTCTTGTTTTACTGCCATATAGTATTTCATAACTGTTTTTCATTTATTCTCTTATTTTCTTTATAACTATAATGATCATATGAAGGTGTGCCGCGGAAATAATCTTTTGAATAATTTGTGACCAAACTGTTTGAGACCCACTGAGATAACTTACTAAAGTTAAGTATCTAAACACTCAGAGAGTCCTTTAGCTCACCTGAGTCTCTCAGTCTGAGAGGAGAGGACTCTCCTCCAGCTTGTTGTGGAACAAACAGCTCCTTATGTCCGTTAGCGCAGCTAGCTAACCAGATGCTAACAACACGTCCCTGCTGGCACCGGGCACCGGTCCCTCCCTCCCCCTCTCTCCCTCTCTCTCTCTCTATCACACTAATGCGCTATTGCCACACACACACAGAGCCGAGCTTGAATGACACAAGCACACGTTTATTTCCATGCAACTCTCTGATTGGTCTGGTGTCATGCCTCTGTTGCATTCACTGAACACGGGAAATTACAGTGCTGCCGTCCTCTCTTGTGTCATGATGAGGTTCACGTAAAGCACGGTTAATGTATTATATTATTGAGGGAGAATTGTCCGGGGCTACAGAAAAAACATTCGGGGCTAAAGCCCCGGATGCCCAGGCCAGGCGACGCCACTGGCAGGTACAGATGTGTATAGTCTGGATTGGAATCACAAATCCATTTCCCCTTAGTGTGTGGATCTTAATATGAAAACACACTGACCTCTGTTGGCCATCTGCAGCCCCTGCATGTTGCTCATGAGCGCTTTCTATCTCTCCCACTGTCTGTCTGTCACTCTCTCTCTTTCTCTCTCACACACACACACACACACGCACACGCACACACACGCACACGCACACGCACACGCACACGCACACAGTGAAGTCAGTCACTGAAGCCAGTTGTGGCCGTGCTGAGAATTGTGTGGTGAAGCACAAAGAACAACAGTAGCCAGAAAAAGACTGTGGCTCCTGCTGCCCTCCCTGTACTTGTATTTGTACACTTGCTTCCACTCTTTCTGCCTTTTGACTTTGTGGTCTTAGAAGCAGAAAAAAAAAAGCGTCTGATGCTGTTTCAGCAAAAGAAAGGCAAAGTTAGCTGTGGTCAGCTTGTGTAGTCTGGAATGCATGGCCATCTCACTCTGACTTGACTTTGTTTCAGATTGTTAGTGCTGCAATCAGCCTTACTTAACGCTATCAGGGAAGAATATAGAAGTACAAAACATCCGTTAAGACGCTGGGTGGAGACCTCATCCTACACCTGGCTAACAACCTGGGTTTAACACTGAATCTCCATCAGCTCCAGGGCTGCTGCTCTGTTTGTGAGCCTGACCTGTTGACCTCCCTCAGGGAAAACAAATCTGGATTTCCCCTCAGTTGTAGCACATTCAACTGCAGGAGGGTTCATATGGGTGTTGTCTGGTATGTGGTGATTCTCCATGCACCCACCTCTGACCATGGAGCCAGCGCACGGTTACGGTGGGCAGGTGGTTTGAGTGGTAAAGATTTGGGGCCAATCAGAGGTCCAGCTAACCACTGACTCCTAAAAACCAACACATATTGCTACGGTACTTTTGTGTCAAACTGAATGTCTGATTTAAGTTTAGATTTTAGACCACAGAAACTTCCTGTCTTCTTCTTCCTCATTCTCCTCCTGCTCTTCTTCACTATATCCTTCCTCTTTTTGCAGTGGTGATTTTTAAGCAGTTCAGCTCTGAGAAGCTGTCACTGATCATAATCCAACCATTCCTTTTTTTAAAAGGGGGGGTCAGGATATGTTGGATTAGAGATGTTTAGACCTGGAACCGAATCATTTGAATATACTGCATCTCCTCGTCCCTGCAAAGTGAAATTGGCTGAGGGTGATTGAGAGTCCTGAGCATTCTCATTCTATGAATAATAACTACACGTTGTTGTGAATGGAAGCTTCTGTTTAGTTACATAACTTAATCCCACCTCATTATCTGGGGCCATATTAAACTGAGAGGGCTTAGAGCTAAACATATTTGGTTTGGTAAGCAATGGACTGTGCTAATATTCCCGTGGGAACAGCAATGTAGGCTTAAGGGATTTAAACTACCAACCTTGCTAACATTGTGGGGGATTTGAGCTAATTACCTCTTCACTGATCCTCTGACATAAGCCTCCTGTCGAGAGAGAGCTACATTTATACGCTCAAGTACCAATATCGAGGGGGAGAAATGGAAATAATGAGCTGTGCTCGAGTCAGATATTCTGTTAAGAACTGCTGGTCAAAACAAAACCAAAATACTTAAATAATGTTTTATGTGTATTCTGACCTATAAACTAAAATGTGTAAGAACAGCCAATGAACGTCCAACAAGATCATGTAGAAAACTGCTGTCGGATGTGGATGTTTTTAAAGATGACATATTATGCTCATATTCAGATTAATATTCTAATGTTGTGCCTTTATGTTGAAAAAGCTCTTTATTTTTCTCACACGTCTGTGTTGCAGCACCTCTTTTCACCCTCTGTCTGAAACCAGAGCCCAGTCTGCTCTGATTGGTTAGTTAGCTGGAGCTGTCAAGGCCCTTGGCCTATCACGTACAATGTAGGGAGTGCTAGCCAAGCGCAAGTGTTACATAGTGATGTCACTATGCTACGGAAGTAAATAAAGGAGTCCAATCGAGGCATTTCCCTCTGGAGGGAATTTGGGGATTTAAGCCTTTGCAGACCATTTACATGCACTAAAACCTTTAAAACAAACTACAGGAAAGGGAACAATAAAAAGCATAATAGGGCCCCTTTAAGTTATCAAAGACAATGCAAAAGGAGAAAAATGAAAGAAATGTGTGTGCTCTTACCTCCCTGTGAATTTGTCAGTAGACTCTGAAGGATAGGCGTGTGGCTGCGATGTGTGTTATGGTGGGGGAGGAGTGAGGGAGGGTGGCCAAGAGAGGCAGGCAGTAAGTGAACATGTTTACCGCTGACTGAGAGACAGACAGCAGAAGGACAGAGAGAGTCTAAGATTTAAAGCAGTTCAGTGTGAAGTCTTGTTTCTCTGGACGTCTTTTCTTTTAGATTAAAAACAGTGAGATCTGGACAGCATTACCCTTACAGTTCACTGTACAGAAGCCTTACAGTGCAGCTGTACCTTCGTTGTCTATCGTATGGCTGATATGGCGTAATTTTTGGACCTGTAACACCCATTTGGATCTTTTAAAAAAACCTCCACTGAACTTAATCATCTCCAAAAACAGCTGATCAGTGTCTGAATCTCCTAACGAAGCAGCTTCAGCACCAGTCAGGGTCCCACTTGGACTTAACACGACTAGTTTATTTGTAATAGGAACTCCAGAGAGGAACTGAAGCTCAACAGCGAGCAGTTTGGGTCCAGGAGCAAGATGTGTTCACTAAACAGGTCCATGTCTCTGTCTATGTTCCCCAGGGAGCCTGCTGCCGGCCTGGATGCCACGGTGGACTATGTCAAGGTAAGAACAGCAAATCTGCCTGTTTGTTTTTTTACAGAATATCAAAAAAAGCTGCTGTTGCTGCCTCTACCATTAGAACTGCATAAAAGACGTGTATCACTGTGGTTGTAATCATGCAAACACGACCACTATAAAGTCATATTTCTCATTAAAAACATAGGATTTTTGATTAAAACTTTGCTTGTGAGAAATATGATATTGTATTCACTTTTAGTGGTGGTGCAAAGTTATATGGCATTTAAAAATATCTCTTGGCTGGCTGTATACAAAGTTAATGCCAATGTATCACACAGTATGTTGGACCTTTCATTCATTCATTACACACAATCATTATAAGCAATATATAGAATACACAGTCTAGGATACAATATGACTGATAAGGCACATGCATACAAATATTGCTTATACAAACCTATCCTACTATCAATTTGAGCTGCCTTACAAATAATACAAATTATTCACAATTGTAACAATCAAAAATAGCTTATGAAACAATTGTTTTGAAAAACACGAGAGTTAAACATTCTTAACTGTTCCATGACACTAATGATGAAAGAATGAAAGAAATCTTCTTTTCTTTATGTTGCTTTTTGTATGGTAAAAAAAAAAAAATCTTGAATTAAAATATGTATACAGTCTGACAGTGACTTTGTTATATACATAACAATTTAATATAATTTCAATATACTCAATAATTACATTTCATGCATTAGATTTTATGAACACGCATTTGTGTGATCATAAAAAATGAGCCCTATTAAAGCTGTGGAATAAGTAATACTATTAAAATGTAAAGCATTCCACTCTGTTGTAAAAATTACTGCAACTCTAAACTAAATACTTCTTTCGTCAACATGTTCATTAGATACAGTTCATTTGGTAAAGAGTAAAACTAATTGTATTGAATCCATCACAATCAGCGTCTGTAATTTGAATAAAACAGAACGTGAAATAATATACTCGGGTTTTTGCAGGCGTTAATGTGAACATCATTCAAGCAAAAAGTGAATCCAATTACCCCTGGGCTACAAGGAAAACACTCCTCTAAATCATATGTCTGCCACTGCTTTGGCTGCAACACTGTTATAAATCATATTCACACATACACACCACCTGAGACCCGTTTCAAAAGAGGTGATGACCGAGAGATGATCATTCTTTTATCACCATATCATCTAGCTGACCGATGATGTGCTCTACTGTGTTTCTCTTTCTGTTCATTCATGTTAACAGCTTATGCACAATCTAACTAAATACATACACACAAAGAACCTGGGGCCTGGTATCACATTGAAAGGGGCTCTATACTGTATGCTCATTTTCAGGTTTCATATTTGTATTTTGTGCTTCTACTATGACATGTGTCCATGCTTTAATGTTCAAAAAGGACACCTCTTTTCACCCTCTGTCTGAAACCAGAGCCCAGTCTGCTCTGATTGGTTAGCTGGCCGGCTCTGTTGCGATTGGTCAACTGTAGAGATGTCCCATCCCTTTAGCCTATCACGTACATTGTATTGGAGCGCTGGCCATTAGAAGCGCAATTGTCACATAGTGATGTCACTGTGTCACTGAAGTAAACAAAGGAGTCCAATGGAGGAATTGTAGCCTTTGCCGGCCATTTACACGCACACAAAACCCAATATAACAAACTGCAGGGAAGGTAAGCATTATGGGGCCTCTTTAATACCTTTTGAATACAAACATAAGGCTTCCTACATTACTCTCACAGTATGTTTATGAAGTATAAAAAGGATTAACAACATTTACGAGGCATACTGTTATTTTTCTTTGAATTAGACATTTTTAAATGTTACATTTATATTCTGAAATATAAGTTATTAAAAAGGGATTGTTAATTACATTTTGCAGAAATTCAGTATTTTGTATGCTGCTAAAACTGAACATACTTGAATGCTATACAAATATACTTACTTGTACAATCTTATATTATCTTGGAGAGTAAAGCACGGATAGTTCAACATTTCTTGATTCAAATTGATTACGTTTGAACCTTTCCTATGTATAAATCATCTTCATAGACCTGGTCATAACAAAGTAAAGCAGACTATATGATCTTGTGTCTCTCATATGATCTTATTTTGATCTGAAAACCATATTTTTTAAAGCTATATTATACAGTAAGTCTAAAGCAGCCTTAACTACACTGAGATAGTGCTTTCCAATTCTTCTCTCTGTAACTCTTTATATTATCCCCTCTTTTGAACCCCCTAAAACCATCCATCACTGCTTTCCATCTCTTAGCTCACACGTTTGGATGCTGACACCTCAGTCTGAAAAGCAAACTCTGGGTCCTTCCCACGAGAACATATGGGAGCTAACCACACACACACAAATACACAAACACCACTTGTGTGTATTCCTTTGGCCAAATTAGGTTTGTGTGCGAGAGTCAACAGAGTGTGTGTATGTGTGTGTGTGTGTGTGTGCTGACCGCAAATGGAGCTACTGTGTCCGAGGTATTATATAATAAGTGTGAAAGTGTAGCTGTCAGCTGTGGTTCTCCAGGTGTGTTTGCATTTCCACTGTGGATGAAAACATGCACAGACTGCAGCAGGCAGTGCATGTGTTGTGGAAAGGTCAAAAGTACAAACTGTGCAGTGAGCCTGGCCTTGTTTAGTTTGATCTGGACATCGATTATGTCCAGTATAAGTGTGTAGGATATATATATATATATATATGGATGTTCCACAGAGTCAAATCATATAAAGATATCCTTCTTGTCTGATTTTAAGACTATTTCTCTAATTCCCGGAGATGTTAAATGGCTGAATTCTACTGTTGGATGTTTTATAGTTACTCTGAGGGAGGGAAATCAGCTAACGTCTTTGAGAACAGTTCAATATGAACCATAAATACTCAAATAAAAAGAAGAGAATACAGTAGAAACAAATATAAGAACTGCTGTATATTGGACAGCTATACCGAGGCATCTATGACTAGATTCTGATTTGCATAAAGTTTAGTTTTTTTTAGATAAAGTATAATCGCAATGCAAGGAACTATTAATGATTGGCTTCCTGCATTGTTAAATTAACAAAATGCAAAAACACGACTGTGGCGTTTTATCCTGTAAAAGAAAAAGCAATAAACATACTGAAATGTTACTAAGTGTTTGGATATGTTAGGATAAACGCACAAGTCTCTAACACATGTACAGTAATGTGTTGCATGATCTATCACCTACTCACGTTATCACACTGACAGGCAGGAAAACATGCAGTACAGCGGGGTCCTGTAGCTACATTTGGCTGGATTACAAAACAGTCAGGTCTGTGTGAGGAATTAGGAAGAAGGATTGGTACAAAGTTCCCACAGGATCATTCTAGGAAATGTTACAGAGAAAGGATTGTTCAATTCTGCCGCAGTACATTGAGCAACATCTGTATTGTGAAGAGTGCTGAAAACCTATCCTGCATAAATACAAAGATTTGACCATTTCTTTAAATTTTTCATCAGAAATTAAGGTATTTACAGTAAGGTACTTTTTCTACTTTTGTGTTCACTCACTACAGTAAGAAACAAACCAAACAAACCAATGATGTTCACTCATATTGCCGTCACAGTTAATCATATGAACAAATCGCACCCACAAAATGCTGACAAAACAGATTGTCTGAAGGTTGGAGTGTTTAAATCTTGAAAATGAATACCTACATGTAAGCTTTTTTTTTTTTTAAAGAAAGGTGAAGGGATTTAGTGCAAAATGCACCATTTAAAAAAAAAAGGTTGTTTATAAAGCCATCTGGTACAATAGGAGGTAGTATAATGCACAATTCTCCACGTTCTTTGATAGCAAATTGACTGACTTTGAAAGTCTGAAAAGGTAAGAAAGAAACTCAGCGTTCTCTAAAGGACTTTCACTCTTTTGTACTTCCTCTTTCATTCCCATTCTGTCTTTGAGTTGAAAACATCAAATTGAATTTGCTCTACCATCATGAAAGAGCATTGAGAAACAACAATGCTCTGTCTGTCCGCGTGTGTATGTGTTCGTGCGGTCTTGCAATTGATTTCAACTCTCAAAGTGAAAGGCACTTAACAGCTTACAGTACACACACATCCGCTCATAGTTAAGTGATCCAAACATCAGTCAAAGTGTTTACTGACTCATATTCATTCATGAAATAGTTCATCTCTGAAAGGGCTTTTAAGTGCTCTAAGAGGTGAGGTGGTACACTCTAGTGGTCAGATGCAGGTGCTGCAGTGTGAGACCCTGTAACAGTAAGTGGATAAGGATTCAGTTAGAAATCCAAACAGCAGTTTGACACTCATCAGGGTCATCACACCAGTTAGCAACGAGCCAGTTAAAATAGAAACCAGACAGCTAGTCAACTATTCAGCCTGCGGGTGCGACGGCCTGCCAGTCAATGAGCTACACAGCCGGTCAATCTTTCAGTTTGTTGGCCTGTACGCACAGCAGGCGGCCGGCCAGACAACCAGCAGCTCGCTACAGGGAATGAATAAAGATTATTCCTGTTGGGAACACATCACTCATCAGTTCCTGAATTATTAGTGGGATTTTGTTCTGATTTCTTACGTATTATATATTTCAGACAGTTCTTGTAACAGTTAGACACAACATGAAGAAACGTTGTATTAGTTTTACATTTAGAGACTTGAATTTAGCATCAATACTGTAACACTTTCAAAGTTATAAAAACCAATGAACTGCCACTGAGAGCCTTTTATTCTATCGGCTGTATCACCCATTTAAAATCCGACAAAGGGTGCACTCGAGTTAATGGGCTGAGTTTAATCTGGGTCAGTCAGACTATAGATCAGGAGTCATGATGTAAACCATGTCAGTCACGTGTCTCGTGTCATTATGTAAAAACAGATCATGACATGCTTTTAATACATCATGACTTTGCATGATTTGCCTCCCAACAGTTTGCTGGGTCTATAATGAAGTCTAAATAATTAAAACTATCCTTAAAACCCAAACAAGTGTTCATTTTCTCAATGGTTCATGAAGTCCGTAT